TCAAATGTACATATGTATATCCATAATACAAAAAAGGAAGGTAGTTTCATTCACTCAATAGAAAATTGACATAAAATTTTTTTTGTTTTGTTTTTGGCGTTACATTTTGTTTTCATTTTCACTTCAAGATATTGCCACTTTGAAAATATTTCATATATTTTTTTCATAAGTGAATGCTAAGCCGCCTGAAAATTGTTTTATTTTCATTAGTTTTCAGAAAATACAGTGAAAAGTCCTATAATTTTTTTTTGGAGTCGACTTATTTTTCTTTATTTATTTCTTACATTGCAAGGTTTTGGATTTTTTTGTATTTTTTTTTTAGTTTTAGAATTTTGAAAATTTATTTGAAAAAAAAAAATTATGAATTTGCTAAGACAAAAATGAAGTAAAAGTCAAAAACCTTTTTATGTCAGATGGTTAATATTTTTGAAAAAAATGTTGGATAAAACTACATTGTTGTTTTTGTATCATGTGTATATCTTTAATGCACTAAATAGCTTTTATATTCTTTATATAAAAAAAAGTTGAATATATATTTCTTTCCCTGAATAAACCCATATGATGACCCCTTAAATTCAGAATCTCTTAAAACTGATTTGGCGAATATTGAGTTTATATGGCTTTAATTCGCAACTCCTCTAGTATAAATACCAACTATATGTGCAATTGACGAATTATTTGGCTTATTTGTAGATATGTATGTTCCTCTGCACTTGCCAATGTGTTTATGAAAGCCATTATTTTGATTTGCGATAAATTCATTGAACTTGCTTTGCTTGTTTGTTCTACCATTTGATGAGATTCGGGCGCTACAATGACCTACACTTTTTGCGCTAACTTTAACATTTTCGATAAACCACTAGTGCGATGCATTCCTCATATTTGTACTTGACTGAGGACGATGGCTAAAATATATGTATATGTATATGTGTATGTGTATATATGTACGAAAAAGTTCATATAAATTTTCTCTTTGCAAATTGATTATTACTGCTACTGTTGTTGTTGCCTAATATCATATGCTGACTATACTCATAGCTATATAGTGGTGGAGTATGTTGTTTTGAAAATAACCCAAACAACAACGAGAAATAAATAAACAAATCTGATGAAAGAATTTTTATTAAGCCAAATATGAGCAATTATTTGTATGTGTGTTTGTATGTATGTATTTATAACACCCATCCATTTGATTGGTGTCAGTGGCAAAGTGATGTGTTGTTGCAACGTTCATAAAAATAAAATAAATAAATAAAATCAAGTACATACATACATACATACATACATACGTACATGTCAAAAAGCAGCAACAGTTGTCATCTTCCAAAACTCAACTACCTTAGCCATACATACCTATGTACGTTCGTATGTTCATACATACACGTATGTATGCATGTGTATGTGCATATGTTTGTCATGTGCGGGTGATAAGTGCTGCGTAAATTTACTTTTATTTTAAGTATAGGGGGAAAGTTTCTATTTTTGGCATTTGATGATGTGTTCTTGCTTGCGGTTGTGGTTACGGTTGTGGTTGTGGGTTTGTGTCCACATAGCCATAGTCACGCAGTGGGGACCGTGATGAGAGGTGTTATTATGTTTATTGTACTTTGTTATTATTTTAGTTGTGCTTTGCCGCCGCAAGCGATACACTGTTATTTACCCAAAATATGCACTTGCAAGCAAAACTTTCAATTAAATTCGTTGATGGCAGGTTTCGTTCGTTCACATTATTGCGAGTGCAAGGTGGAGAAGTGAATGAACTTCGTAATGATTTTGATTAATAAAGATTCTTAATCATTATTATGCAATTTTCAACAAAAAAAAAGTTTATATTAATTTTTTATTCAACTGAATAAATAATACCGGCTTAAAGATTTCTTTCAGCCGTGATCAGCTCTGATTTTATAATTGATAATTAATGTACACAGAAAAAATTTTATTCTAAAGCTGAAATTAAGTAATTAAAAAATTTTAAAATGTATTCGTTAAGAGATGCAAGAATAGTTTTATTTTATGCTAAAAAGTGCGCCTGAGAGGTCGAAGGTGCTGGAAAGAAAATAGAAATTGTGACACAATCGGTGATAATTTTTTTTGGTCATGACTTTAATAGTAAATACTTTAACTTCTTAGGTACACGAGTTGGAATATTAAAGTTTACCGCAGACAAGAGCCATGAACTACAAATTTATCCGTTACGAAATTTGACTACGAAAATGCGCCGAACATTTCTCTGCGACATTCGAGAGTAGCTTTGAACGGTTGGTATAGGGAGAGAGATATTGGGTTGCCCAAAAAGTAATTGCGGATTTTTTAAAAGAAAGTAAATGCATTTTTAATAAAACTTAGAATGAACTTTAATCAAATATATAATTGCCATTTTGTTCGATAACCTTTTGCCATCTTCCTGGCAAATTTAGTATTCCACGCTCATAGAACTTCTGGCCTTTATCTGCAAAAAACTGAACCAAGTGCGATTTTATAGCCTCATCATTGCCGAAAGTTTTACCATTTAAGGAGTTCTGCAAAGATCGAAATAAATGGTAGTCTGATGGTGCAAGGTCAGGGCTATATGGTGGATGCATCAAAAGTTCCCAGCCAAGCTCACTCAGTTTTTGGCGAGTGACCAAAGATGTGTGCGGTCTAGCGTTGTCCTGGTGGAATATGACACCTTTACGATTGACCAATTCTGGTCGCTTCTCCTTGATGGCTGTATTCAATTTGTCCAATTGTTGACAGTAAACATCCGAATTAATCGTTTGGTTCCTTGGAAGCAGCTCAAAATATACGACACCCTTCCAATCCCACCAAACAGACAGCATAACCTTCTTTTGGTGGATATCAGCCTTTGAAGTGGTTTGAGCTGGTTCACCATGCTTGGACCATGATCGTTTTCGACTAACGTTGTTGTAAACAATCCATTTTTCATCTCCAGTTATGATTCGTTTTAAAAACGGATCGAATTCATTGCGTTTAAGGTGCATATCACAAGCGTTGATTCGGTGTGTTAAATGAATTTCTTTCAATACATGTGGTACCCAAATATCAAGCTTTTTCACCAGTCCAAGACTTTTTATGTGATAATGAACGGTTGATTTTGGTATATTTAACTTCTCTCCTATCTCACGCTCAGTTACATGACGATCCAATTCGATTAATGCTTTGATTTGGTCATCATCAACTTCATTTGGCCGACCTGAACGTGGCTCATCTTTAAGTGAAAAATCTCCAGAACGGAATTTGCGAAATCAATTTTGACACTGTCTTCCTTTTAAGGCTTCATCACCATACACATCTCGGAACTTTTTAGCAACCTGCTCCGCGTTTTTTCCTTTACGGAAATAATAAAGTAAAATATGACGAAAATGCTCCTTTGTGGGCTCCATATTAAAATTGGCGCCAAACAAACAAATGTAAACAAAATTTCGCGCATTTTTTCTTAAGCAAGCTAAAAGTAACAGCTGATAACTGACAGAAGAAAGAATGCAATTACAGAGTTACAACCCGTTGAAAAAATTTGTCAACGCCGACTATATGAAAAATCCGCAATTACTTTTTGGGCAACCCAATATATCTTAGAGTTCCATCGGAAATGTCTGAAGAGGTAAAACCACTCTACGATTTTGGAAAACGCAATTTTTTTTTGCTCACAGTGTACCTTGGGATCCTAGAAATCATTTACAATTGATTTTAAAGTGAAAAAAATATTTCAAATAGCTGAACTCTTTATTTTGCTTCACAAATACATTTCCTTTGAAAGTACGCATCCGTTTTTCGATTGATTGTAAATGTTTTTTTTTTAATAATTTTATGCGAATTTTTAACTCAAAAATCAATTTTAATCTCACCTCTGTCAAAACTTAAGTCATTGTCTTTCAATGAAGCTATCCTGAAAATTGCAACAAAATCCGTTCAGTAGTTGACTCTGAAACTAAAGCGTTAAGGATAAATACAATCTCCTTTATATACAAGTTATTAGAAAAACACATTCTCCTTATTACATTCTCAACACTCACGCTGGGAACACCACAGTCTCATGTATGTAAAAGAAATGGTATATAACATTATCTTTGGTCCGGAGTACGTAAGTCCCAGAAAAAGTAGAGAGAGACGCATCTAAATATATATATAATGATCGTATCAAAACAATAACTAATTTTATTTAGCCATAACTGGCTGTCCTTCCTTCTGTAGGTCCGTCTTAATTCTAAAATGCGATACAATAAATTAGATATGTATAGATTAGTGCCCGTCGTCGTGTTATCCGCGAGTGTTGAAAGTAAAATAGACTAATTTTACGTCGTGGCACGGATAGACCTTCACAATACAACAAATTAGCGTACGATGAGTCATAATACTTTCGCCCATCGGATTTTCTATACATTTCGTAAATAGGAAACGTAGATTTATTTTTAACTTGCAAAAATGTATTTTAATTAGATATCAATCCATATTTGCAGAATATATTTTTGCACATTTGCACAGCTGTTACCTGTAAAATGAAGTATTCATATGTCAATATTGCTTTTTTTCAGAATTATACTCGCTAAAATTAACTCAATTGTTTGTGTTTATGTTTGTGTTCTCTTTTTTAAATTTCGTAATTTGATGAGCGAAAAGAGGCGGGTGTCTGCCACCTGGTGTTCTCATTAAAAATCCATCATCTCACTCAAATTTCTGGATAATTGTACTTTTTTCCATTTTGTTTTTTAAGATTTTACAAAATGTTTTTAACAATTTGCATTTGCCAGCGTTTGAACTGAACTGAGTTGAACCGCATTGAATCGAAAGAGTATATAGCTCATCGACAAATGTTTGGTTTCCATTGTAAATATTGACCATGAACTGATGATGAATGGGAATCATTTTCGATGAAGACTCATTGCGTACGCCGAATTCGAAGAAATAGAATTTTTGTTGTTTATTTGTGTAGCTAATGTTGTGACTTTAACGCTAGTGTTTGTATTTACATAGACTTAACGCTTTCTCTTCCTTTTTTTTAGCATTTGGGGTCCACCTGCCTTGAAGCATGCTGCCGAGTCGAAGGATGGACTCATACGCAATGCGCGACCCGTTTACAATTATTCAATGCGCGGCGTGGTGACGTGTTTCACCGGCATACGCAAGAAGGATGAGTTGGTGAGTGTAATGACTCTGTCGTTTGCTTATTTATTGAGAATTTTAAATACAAAAATTGAATTTTAATCTCATTATTTGCAACTCTCCATAGACGCGGCTCGTCAATCTGATACATTCGATGGGTGGTTGCATACGCAAAGACATGAATTCCAAGATCACACATTTAATTTGCAGTCACAGTGGTGGTGATAAGTATCAGTGAGTTGTCGTTGTTGTTATTGTTATCTGATTTTGCTTGATTTTTGTGCACATAAAATGTTGCCTCTAATGGCGTTTTAATCACTTCTGTTTTTTCTTTATCTATATTGTTTATTATTATTGCTCAAACTTTTTATTATTGTTGTTTAAATTGTTTTAATATTTTCTTCTTGTTATTGTTGTTACATTTTAATTCTCTAGATACGCAAAAACATTTCGCTTGACCGTCGTACGACCGGCCTGGGTTTATGCCGCTTGGGAGCGACGCGATGAGCTGCAATTTCGTGCAACGACCGATGATTTTTCGCGTGAGCATAAACTGAAAGCATTTGAAGGTCAGAAAATTTGTTTCTTCGGCTTTCCAACCGATGAGCATCAGCATATGGTGGATGTGTTGCTCAGTAATGGGGGCGTGCCAGCTGAGTTGGATGATCCCGAGTGTTCGCATGTCGTGAGTTTTACTGACTTTTTATTTGTATTTTGTTTTTAGTTTTTTTCTCTTATAACAAAACACAGTTGTAGTTTTATTGTTAGCATGTTGTTTATGTTATTAACGTGTGTGTTATATTATGTATGCTTTGGGGTGAGTGTGTGTAAATAGTTGTCACTAATTGTTTGTTATTTTTTCCACTATTTGCAACTTAAACAATTGAATCCAGCAGAAAAGAAATAAAAAACAATTTAAGTCAGTGTGGTTGGCAGCGAAAACAATCACTTATTATAATTTGTGTGAAGATATGAATTGAAAACAACAATTAGGTGCAACTTACAAGTATTTAGCAAAAAAAATTTATTCAAAAAAGTAATAATAAAAAATAATATAATTTTATGATAATAAAATAATAGTAATAAAATATTAATACTAATAATAATAAAATCATAGTAATAAAAAAAATAAGAAATAATAAAATAATAATAAAAAAATAAAAATAAATTAAAAAATAAAAATAAAAATAAAAGAATAATATAATTTAAGTAATAAAAATAAAAAAATTAAAATAAAAAAATTAAAATAAAAAAATTAAAATAAAAAAATTAAAATAAAAAAATAAAAATAAAAAAATAAAAATAAAAAAATAAAAATAAAAAAATAAAAATAAAAAAATAAAAACAAATTAAAAAATAAAAAAAAAATCAATGAAGAAATAGTAAAAAAAATGTAATGAAAAAAATTATGAGAAATATTATTATATAACAAAAAAAAAAAAAATAGTAAAATATAATGATAAAAAGTAATGATAAAAAATAATGATAAAAAAATATTGATAAAAAATAATGATAAAAAATAATGTTAAAAAATAATGATAAAAAATAATGATAAAAAATAATGATAAAAAATAACAAAAAAAATATAACAACAAAAAATAATGATAAAAAATAATAATAAAAAATAATAATAAAAAATAATTATTAGAAATAATAATAAAAAATAGTAATAAAAAATTATAATAAAAAATTATAATAAAAATTTATAATAAGAAATAATAATAAAAAATGATAATAAAAAATAATTATAAGAAATAATAATAAAAAATAGTAATAAAAAATTATAATAAAAAATAATAAAAGCAATAAATAAATACGAAGAAAAAGTTTTTAATTTATTGATATGAAATTGGATTGTGACATTTATTGTTGTAACAACATAATTGACTCCATAGATAAACATAAGTCCGTTGCAATTGGGTTAATTATGTATATTGGATAATGAAAAAGTCTCCGCGGTCTTTCTTTATTGAAAATTTTATTTAATAAAGTATATATACATATACACTATATATATAACTGGCGTTCCAACTACTGAAGCGATTTTCGGCTGACATATCGGCCGTTATTATATTTCCATTTGTTATTTTCCGGTTAGCTTCTTAATTCTAACTTCCGTGGTCTACCTTTTCTACCTAAGAGCTTGTTGTAAGCTTGTTGTTGTATTGTTGACAGGCTCAGAATTGATCGTTTGGCCACGTTGAAGCAGCTCATAATGGACAATTACCTACCAATCACTGAACATCACCTTTGGTGCCGTCAATTCAGGCTTTGATATCCTTTTTTTTATATTCTCTTATCAAATGCATTTTTCATCGCCCGGGGTTCGATATTATCGTGTTTTAGAAGCATTTCATTGATGGTAATTCGGTTACTGATTTTTTTCCCCCAAATTCATGTTGCGCCCGAACATTGAACTTTTTGTGTAGTCATCTTCACGTTTTTTGGCACGTATCTACAGCGCTTTTACCTTTTATTTTTTATAGCGTAAAGCATCACATAGTGTACTTCGGAAATTTAACAATTTTGCAAATCAAAATAACTTTGCACACAAATGACGATTTGCAAAAATACAATACTTTCAAGAAAAATTGTCTGAAATGTCAGCTTTGAAACAGTTGTTGGTTTAACGCCATCGGTATTACCCGGAATAAGAGCACCAAAACCGCGGAGTCTTTTTTAATTATCAATAATTCATTCGAACTCTACTGTGTTGCTTATATAAAGAAGGATTTTAAAATAATGCTGAAATTCGTATCACTCCTAGTTAACTCATTTGTAGAATATTTTTCATTCATATTCATAAATTTATAAATTTACAGGTCATGCCAAATACTGGTGGCTATTTTCTCGAAACAATAACTAACACTTGCAATTCACCTAAACCTCAACCCGTAACTAACCTACTCCTTAATCCCAAACCATCAACTCCGAAATTTCTAACCAAAACTAATGCCACTAACATAAAGGACATCACGGAAGTAAATAGTGAGATACCCGATGTAATTGAAACACAAAATAAGACTGAAGAAAAGACTTCAAATGTAACTGAGACTGAAGTGGCACCGATTGCAAATACCGCTCTTCAAATGGATGTAGATAATGAGGAATTGGAGGCTGGGAAAATAAATGAGGTGAATGAGAAAGACAACAAGCTCGATGAACCTGGCCAGCAAGTCGACAATTATGAAGATAATGAAGATGATAACGACGATGACGATGGCGATTACTTTGATGAACGTTTGGTGGTTGATTATGATCGAAATATGGCGCTGCAAAATGGCTCGCCACTACCTGAGGGCGTTGATATAGATATAGATCCGGATGATGTTGTTGTAAGCGTTACGCAGCATGTTGATAGCACGCCACAAAAACAGACACACTTGACACTGCAGATACCCAAATTCGATATTAACGCAAATACGAGTGGTGAAGAAGCACAGGGTGATAGTGTCAAGCCGTTAACAACAGACGAGATCAATGAAAATGCCAGCACACCAATAAAAATAACAAATCTTAACGAACGTAATGAAAGCACCACTGATGGCACGGTGCTCACTAAAGAGTTGGCCAAGGATTTTCATAATCCAAACAACATTTCACCAATATTAAATATAGCACCAGAGACCGACCGCATGACAGAGGATGTAAGAGCTACTCCAACGCTGCAAACGCCAGATTTCGATGTAATTGTCACTACTAACGCTGCAACCGAAAACGCGACACCAGCGCCAATGGAAACAGATGCAGATCCAGTCGATTTGAATGCCGTTGATGATGATCTCGCAGAAGAATTTGGCGATTTAAATGATTTGAAGCGTAAACGCGAGAGTTTCGACAGCATTTCACTTATGTCCGTAGAATCGTTTGCCCTGCCGAACAGCACAAAAAAACCAAAACTTCTACGCACCGGTTCCATAACACGTTCCATACGTAGATCTATGAGTTTCGTTGCTGTACGCACACCCATTTCGAAAATGTTACGACCACGACGCAGCTCCGTAGCGTTGGATGGCGCACCAAACGATGAGGAAGGCTGCACTGCAGACGAATCTTTCTGTTCGATTGCCTCCATAGAGTCAACATTCAATGAATCGATACGAAAGCCGGTTAAAGAGAAATTTCGTAGCTTAAGAAATCGCATCACACGCAGCAGCAGTAAAAAGGATAAACATAATACACAATCCACAACACCTGAAAAAGATGAGGCGAAATGCGAACGTGAGTTGCCAAGTAGTGGTTTTAAAACACCAAAAGCGCCAGCAAAATTCTTAAGCGCCGCAGCAAGAGCAATTGGCACGCCCAAATCGCTGACAAAACATGCACTGCTCTTAGCGCCAACGCCATCGCCGTCGTCAACAGTTGCGCACAAGCATATTGAGGACAGTGCTGTTGCATCCCCTTACATACAGTCCGCTACCACTTCAAAGCCTCGTTCCTCATCGCCCGCACCTACAAAGCAATTGCAAATTGAAGCAGTAGTAATGCTGCAACAGAATGTACAATCACCAGCTGCTTGCGTTGCACATAATCAGTCTGCGTCGAAGCAGAAAACGGCGCTTTGTAAACGCGATCATTTGCAAAATGATGTTCTTGGACCCTCAACAATGGTACATTCAAAGCATTTCCATTTGCCATTTACATTAGTTTTCCATATTTTCATTGGCAAAAGAACAAGAAATGGGAAAATCGCATACAAAACAAATGAGAGGGAGCAAAAATAATTAGAGGATTTCAGTATTTGATGAAAATTTTTAAGCGAAAGCGCATTTTTTTGTGTTCATTATATTAAAAAGAAGTTTATGTTAATGGTTAATAATAATTTGCAACGCATTTTTAACATTTCGTATCATTTTTTTTTGTGAGGTTATGTTTAATTTTTGTCTTCTGTCGTCGAATTGTTTTTTCGCTGGCACTGTTGTTTTAGTGTGTAAATTGTTGTTTATCTTTTAGCATGGTTTACTATACATTTGTTTGTGGTGTTGGGTAATTAAAAAAAAAGTATGATTAATGTGGCAGTACAATAAAATATTTTCAAAAAGCCAATTTTAAATTCATATATATTTTCATTAGTGGCAACATTTTTCCAAAAATCTTTTAATTTCAGCGAAAAATGTTAAAAATGCTAAGCAAATTATATTTATAAACATTTCTTTCAAATTTTATAGTGTACAGACGCTTTGTTTTTGTTAAATTAAATGCACTCTACCTCTGTTGATCCACACTCTTGCTATTTTTTCTCTAACTGAAATTTGTGTTGTATGGTTTTTCTTATTCTTGTTCTAAATGCACTGCTTTTGCTTTCTTTTACCTTATGAATATGAAAAGAACTCTTCATTTTTTATCTCGAATTTGCCATACTGTTATGTATATATATAAAATTTTGTCTAACTTTAAATTTTATAAATTACATAAATATGTGGCTAGTAATTTCCATTTAACAATTGAACTTTTAGAAAATAATTTATTGTGCTGCCAAAATAATTTTAATATTTTTTTTTTTTTTATAAATCTACTTTAATCTATATTTTTAGTAACTCGTAGCTGCTGCGTTGATTCATTTTAAATCATCATATCGTTAAAAGTATTCACTCATGCCATTGCCATTATATTTGTGCTTACTTGCACATCATAAATGTCTAATTAATTGCTGGATTTGTTATTGTGCAAATTGTTTTGTATTTTCGTAGGCCATTCAATGCTGATTTGCACGCTAACTGGAAAATTTCGGTCTGCAAATTCACAGTTCATGTCAATTTTGATTATTTTGAATTTGAATTAAACAAACAGGGTGCATTTTCAATATGGTTTATATGTTACTTAAGTAAAAAAAAAAAACTAAGTTGTTATTTGCCGGCATTTCCTATTGCAGAAAAAATCCACAAAACAAATTTTAATCGCAATTACCCTGTAACCGTTAACATGTTTAATTTAAAAATTCAATTTAAAATTTGTTTTCATATTCATCCGTTGGAATGCAAAAACATGTGAAAGCATCTTTGTTATTTCAACACTTTAGTAAATTGAAAAATTTTCCATTTGTCAGGCAAAGCTAACTGTAAAACGCAAATTGTACTAAATATACTCGTATAGCGCTTACAAATACATGTGTTAAATATCGGAAAAGTCTTACAGTTAGCAAGCTTTTGAATACAGAGTTTATACATTTAATTAAATTTCACCACTTTTTTATGCTTTTTACTATAGGTTGTCGATGAACACACCACTCAAACTAAGCCCGAACCCAAAAATCACCGTACACATATACTCAAGTCCGATTGGTTTTGGTATACTATACAAAATGGCTACGCGGACGAGATGGATTACCTATTTGGCGATGTAAGTTAGCTCATATACACATTATTGATGTGTATATATCCGTGAATTTTCTTCAACTCTATTTAAAAAAAAAAAAAACCTTCCCTTTTTCTTTCATCCCATTTCAGTATTTGGACAGTATTGCGAATACGCCCAATACGGATCGCCGTGATTCGCTGCCCATCAGTTTTAATAAACGTAAACGGAAACGTTTCTCACAGCGCATACAGTTCGAGGGTACACCAATTGGTTCGGGTAAACGGCGTTCATCTGTGTCTGATGCCGGTTTACTCTCAGTCTCGGGCTCATTCTTTGACTGCACTACCAGCCCCGACAAGTTAGAGACTGGCAAGTTGCATAATGAAGTGCATATTGAAACGCCGGCAGTGTGTGAGACAACGCCGGCGAAAAAGTCGATGCGTTTCAATCACTTTATGGACTTCTTTAGCACCGAGTCCAATTATGTGGGCATATTGGACACGATAGTGAAGGTGTGTATTTCGTTAATACGCAAAAAAAAAATATGTTATTAAAATGCCTCGCTTTTATTAGTGCTAAAAAAATATATATATATGTATATATAATACGTTTTTCCTTCTCCCAGCTCTTTAAGAATCCACTCGAAGAAATCGCCGAAACCAATGATGCTTTACTCAATAAATCTGAAATCAAATCAATTTTCAATAATTTTCTACCCATTCATGAAGTGCATCAGAGTATGTTAGAGAGTTTACGTGCGATACAGAGTAAATGGTCGGAGGATTGTTTAATAGGCGATATAATACTTCAACATCGTGATGAATTAACAAAAGCGTATCCACCTTATGTGAACTTTTTCGAACAGATGAAGGAAACGCTTCAACAATGTGATAGTCAAAATCCACGCTTTCATGCATTTTTGAAAATCAATCAAACAAAGCCCGAATGCGGTCGACAGAGCCTCCAAGATCTTATGATACGTCCCGTACAGAGACTGCCAAGCATTAGTTTGCTGTTGAATGGTGAGTAAAGAGGAAGCCAACTTAACATAATTATGGGAGGTCCAGGAAACGAGCCTTTTCGACGGGTTGGGACCAGAGGGAAAGGGCGGTTAGATGAGTTGGTTTTAGGGGGCATGTATGCAGGACATAAGATGGATATGTCGGGGCCAAGTCTGAATTATAGAAGTTTTATCTACTACAATATTCAGACCTAAGTTGTTCGTCTGCAATAGTTAGTGGTTTAACTCCGAGAACGCCATTCATGGGAAGGGAGCTCAGGAAGGTACTGACTTGACTGTAGTCCGGAACTTGGTTGCCCCATATAACGATACATACAGGATTTTAAGTGACCCACTGACAAGAGAGTTTCCGGGATCGCCATCACGAGTGTGGTCGCGCCTGGGTGCTAGCACCATCGCCTCAGTCGGGAAATTAGGGCGAATGAAGCAGGCGGCAGTCTTGCGGAAGGAGCGTTCACCAGATGGCGTTCTCTTTTTTTTTAAATTAACTAACTTCAATCGAGATTAGTATGGGTAAGTGATCCGTTGCTAGCCTCAGCTTAGGTCGCCAGGATATGCAGCTTATCAGACCAGCACATTCAATTGCAAAGTCTCTGGCGAGCTTTGGCCATTACCAACAATTCTGCTCCATCCCTCTACGGTCATTTTACAGGCTCCAATGCCGAAGATCGTGTTGCTCGTTCAAGTCGCCCAATACCAAACGGGTTTCGCCTCAGGGTAACGCACCTAAATCAGGGCAGTATCCAACTGGGCCACAAGTTATTAGTATGATGTATATATTAAATATTTCGCTCGCGATCTTTGCGGATGATGTTGTATCGAGCCCGTCTTAGAAGATCTGAGCGGCGCTCAACTTTGTCTCCTGGATGTTCTCGGCTCCTAGTGGGCTGCGGGGAGCTCCATAAAGGTTTGAGGATAGCTATCCAGAGTGAGTAATGAGCAGCACTTTGTGGCATATGTAGCAGAAGTAATCTGTCGGACCAAGGACCAAGGTTGGGTTGGGTTTATACTAATTTTACCTGTTAAAAGACGGGATTAGGTCGCCGAAAGGGTGAACGGCTGTCCGGAGTCAACTCCGATGCGTAACCAGCTGTTTTGACATATATATCAGGTGTACAACTTTGCTTCCGCCGTTTTTTTTTCCAAAATTAAAAGCTTTATTGCGAAAAAGTGCTTCCAAATATATTATTCATGATATTGTCCTTCGCTAGCGACAACTTTCTCCCATCTTTCCGGCAATTTTCGGATCCCGGCTCGAAAAAAGGAGTCCTCTTTTGACGCTATACATGAAGCAATCCATTTTACCAACTCTTCGAAGGATTGAAAATGTTGATCTGCCAGGCCGTGTGCCATCGAACGGAATAGGTGGAAGTCAGAAGGGGCGACTTCTGGGGAATACGGTGGGTGGGGCAAGACTTTCTATTTCAGAGTTTCCAGGTACTTTTTGACCACTTTCGCGACGTGAGGCCGAGCATTGTCGTGTTGGAGTCGCTCTTGATATTGTGGCCGCTTTTCTTTTAGCGCGCGACTAAGGCGCATCAGTTGCGTTCGGTAGCGATCTCCTGTGATGGTTTCACCCGGTTTTAAAAGCTCGTAGTAAATCTTTGAAGGTTTCTTCTCTTCCACCACCATGTTTGTCTTATACATCGAAATCACCATTTTTAAAAGAAAAGTAAAACTTCCCGCAAATGGCGAACGGCGATTAAAACGGACATTTTCGAGCGTGAATAATACAAAAACAAGAACAACACTGAAACGGCGATGACAATTCGTTAAGCACTGTCCACACTCACTTTAAAGGCATTACCATCTAAGTATTTCAACCAGCCTCAGCCGGTACAGCCACCTATCGGAAAACGGCGGAAGCAAAGTTGTACACCTGATATATATATATATATATATATATATTATATATTTCGACTAACTTTTTAAAATTCGTTACTTTCATATTTATTTCATCATATTAATTAATTGTACATATTTCCTCTTACAGACATTTTGAAACATACAAACAAAAATAATCCAGATTATGTCAAATTGGAATTGGCACTGAAATCCATCAAGGAGGTGATGATGCATATAAACGAGGATAAGCGGAAGACGGAGTCGCGCATGGCGATATTCGATATCTTCAATGATATTGAGGGCTGTCCGGTAAGCATAATGAGAGTGTGCTTTTAATTTAATTATCATTGTTTAATTAATTCATTAATTTGCTCCTCTACCCGCTACCCTACAATAGCCACATCTTGTATCCTCGAATCGTAGTTTTATTTCCAAGTGTGAAGTAACAGAATTGTCTGATAATTTGAGTGGTCGTGGCGATTCTCTCATGTTGTATTTATTCTCCGATACAATTGAGGTGTGCAAGAAACGTTCGCGTGCCTTTAATACAGCAAAATCGCCAAGTTCTACAAAATCACACAAACATGTAAAGTTAATATCATTGAATGCGATACGTTTTGTCATTGACATCACCGATAGTCCGCGCGCTTTTGCTTTGCTTTGTCGTCAAGACAAGGAGAAATTATATTCATTCACCATTGCCGATGATGAAACCGATAAAGTGGTGTATCTGAAATTGTTATGTAAGCAAATGGCTGAAAATGCTTGCCGTACGGACACGGTAAGCGCATTACTGAGTCGCACCTCACAGGAGTTGGAAGTGGATATCAGTGATGTGAATTTGAGTACATTATCGAAGGCGTTTAAGTTGGCGGCGCGTACGCGTCAAAAGGTGAGTGTGAATGGCATTTTCTTTTTTTTTTATATGTATGTTAATATGTAGCGTGTTATTAAATTTTGTGTGTGTTTCAATTATCGTATGCAAAATAATATATTTGAAGTGCTGTACTGCATGCAAAATCCACTGCTTAGTTGGTAATTTAGAGTGTGTTTATTGTTTATCTAATTTGTAAAAATTTAGTTATTTTGATTTTACTGAGCGTTTGAAGTGGTTAGACACATTTTATTGTATTGTTTTATATATATTTTTATTTCAATTTATTTTACTATATTATCTGTTTTGATTTGTATTGGAGTTTGCTACAGTGGGTTGAATTTTACTGTCTTTAATTTTGTTGTTGTTTGTTTTATTTTCATTTGCTATTGAATTTTTTTTTTGTTCATATTCGTTAATTTTTTTGCTATTTCTATTAATTTACTATATTTTATTTTGCTTCGTTTGATCTCATTAATTATTAAATTATTCTAATTTTATTTTATTTTACTGTGCTCATTGTTCCCGTTATTTGGTCATATTTTGTTTTTTATTTCGTGTAATTTTGCCTAATTATTTTTATTTCGATTTTTTTTTGTACTTTATTAATTTTTTTATTTTGCTATAAAATTATTGTTTTTCATAAATGTATGCGTTTATAATAAACTTCTTTGCTTTTTAATATATCGCGTATGTGTTTGTGTTACATTTAGCTTTTTTGTTTGTATGTAGTTTGTTTTAATCTTGACTTTTTCCTTTCCCCATTCACCCCCTTGCTACCCTGTGTCTGCTTGTAATGAAGAAACTATTTCCTTTGTTCAGGTGGGCCGTGCATTTTCATTCAACAAAACTCCCTCGAAATTGAAGCGAGCTGTTTCGACAATGATGACACCACCTTTTGGCAGCACCAACTCTTTAACGCCCGCCTCACAGTTGGCGCAAATGCGTTTGGCGAGTTGTGCTAATATACATGTAAGGAAATAAACACACACTCACTTACGCATACATTAAAATAAATTGAAATTATTATATTTTGCCACAGGAAGCGGTTGATGAGGAGGGTAACCGTAGTAGTTCACCATCAACACAATCGGAAATTCTGCTGCCACCACTCTCCGTACAACCGATGCGCAAAAATAAGTCTTCAACGCTGGGTGTTGTTGGGCGTCTTTAAATACTTTTAACTTAACGCAACTGTTGAGCGGTAAAAATAAATAAAAATCAGTCGAATTTCTGTGTAACAAAAACGCTGTCGCGTTGAAGGAATCTGGCGTACGATAGCCGACGTTCGTTGTACGTTAATCTCGGTTGAACGCATCATCGCTTAAGTATATCCTTAACGCTGCTACTTCGATATATATGTACATACGCCATATTCGCTCCTGAACACTCGCTCTTACTGCCCTGTGTGTGTGTGTTTGTGGCTGTCAGTGCGTTTTTTAGCAAACTCCAACAGAAACTTATTGTAATGCAAATATTGTTGCAATAGTAACTAAATATGTAACGTTGTAAACTATCGTCAGCTGCGTACATAAGGTGTTACATTAATATTTTGAATGCCATGTGATGTTTCTTTTGTCATGTGTCATGGGTGGCACCCTGCCCTTTCGAATGTGTTTTTTTTTAAACAAAAAACAAAAAAATCTAAAAAATAATCTGTTTAATATGCTCATTTTGGTACTATGACATTGTGTGTGATTTACAAAAAAAAAAAAAAAAAAAATAAAAATAAAACGGACATTAAAATTTAAATTATTTTATAAGAATTGTGTCACATTTCATGTGGGGAATGTGTCGCACATCCGCGTTAAATATACATATATGTAAATGTAAGATTTTCACCTGAAATTAACTTTAGCTCTTAATGGCTTATGTAAGTAATTATCTTTCGTGTTCGACATTGTAAATATATATAGATGTGTACATACGTAAAATAATATCGTGTTCGATTTTATAATTTTTTTTTTTAAGTTTTACGCACAGGAACCCTCCAACAGCTTAGTTTAACAACTTACATCTACATACATTAATTATTCTATATACATATATAATTACGATATATATAAATATATACAATATTGTACTGTACTATAATGTGCTAGAGCTTAATTGCTAAATTATTCAATTTCTTAAGTTTAAATGTTGTAAAAATATTTACATTTTCGTCGCTCTTTACTTTTGTGTGAGTAAAAAAAATGTCAATAATGCGAAACAAAAGGAAAGAAATCATGTAATGCAATGGATCAAGAGATTTATCTTAATAATATATATAATACATAATTATTAATTATAGTGACTATGTTAATGCATATATATGCAGATGAATGAATGAATAATTTCGCTTTACGAGTATGATTCACTATTTGTCTAAGCTTACATTATTTACCCAATGCAGAATGATATCTTAAAAGCCTAATATATTTTACAATAAAATATAACTATCTATTGTAGTTAAGAGAAAAATGTCGCACCAATTATTGTAAACGATGAAATTGCTATCTTGTGGGTAAGCAAATAGAAGTTGGAGTTGAAGACACATAGTGGAAATCGACGCCATTTACATAGTTAGACGTGCCAATATCATCTCAGTTTTATTCTTCTTTACTGGGCTATACACCGCTATATCGATGCCGAGTTAAAAACAGCGCGCCAATTCATTCCTTCCCATCGCTGTTTGGCGTCAGCTCGAAACACCAAGTACAGATAGGTCCTTTTCCTGCTGAACTTTCCAACGAAGTGAAGATCTTCCAACGCCGTTTACAGCATCAAAAACTTGAAAACTGGATAATTGTTATCAATTATGACCGCATGATCTAGCCAGCGTTTCTTGATTCCCTGAATTATGTCAATGTCGCCATATATCTCGTACAGCTCATCGGTACATCAGCTACTGTATTCGCAGGAGAAAATTTCATCGTCCAATATTGAATAACTTGATTGATCAGCGATTTGTACAGTTTGGTCTTTGTTTGTTGAGAGAAGACTTTACTGATTGCCTACTCAGTCCAAAGTAGCATTTGTTGGCAAGATGGATTCTGCGTTGGATTTCAAGGCTGACATTGTTGTTGCTGTTCCAAGCTAGACGAAATTATCTACAAATTCGATGTTATGACTGTCAGCTTTGACGTGTGAGCCGCGCAGAGTTTGTGAAGATTGCTTGCTTGATGACAGAATATTTCATTTTGTCTTCATTTATAACCAGACAATCATCCTTCGTTTCTTTATCCAGTCTGAAGAAAGCAGAAACATGATCGTACTTTCTCCATTCAGCTCTGCATTTTTATGCTCGTATTATTTTCTCCAGCAATAAGTTAAAGAAATCACACTCAATGAATCACCTTGCTTGAAACCTCGTTTGGTATTGAACTGCTCGGAGCATCAATTTGTAGATCGCCTTCCTGTGCTCTATAGGAGTTTGCTCTGTCTTGCCGTACCTTTTTGTAGTACTTTCGAGCATTAGCATTGTCGGCCAGCTTCTCAATCCCTTTATACTCATGCATCAATCCCTCCATAAATTCAGAAAACTCTAGAAATGAAACGCCAGATCAACCCTTTAGGTCATATTAGAGTAACATCTGTGCTTTAAATAAATTTACTTATGTAATTTTCGAACACTTACCCTGCCTCTTTTCTACTTTGCGGGGCAACTAGCTTCTTTTCAGCTCTGTTTATTTTCACGCGTAAGGTCTGGAAGTAGTTATATCACATTTCTTTTGGAGTCTAGTGGTCATTAGCTTGCTGATGAATATGATGATGGGTTACGCAAACGTCATTTCAGTTATAGTAGAGGACTACTGCTTAGCATCCCTTGGATCTGTTTCCAAGCAGGCACTTTGAAAATTAAATAAATGGACCAAGCGTTAACACTGGGAAGCGGCTATTAAAGCCCCACTCATGGCACGAAGCTCGTTATTATTTGGGGGAAAAACAGGCCAGACATCCGGCTGCTAGTCAGGCAAATGCTATCCATATTAGGCGCAGAAAGGCTGCAGGACCTTCAACCGGCAATGGCCAAGAGGCCAAAAAGGCTTCTTCAATCAGGCAATTCTCTTCAAACAAGATACACAACAAAGAGTGTACAGTACAGCTATGGTGGCATATGTTTTCTAATTTCAAACGGAAGGCCCGTGTTTGAGTCCTGACTCGACCAACATCCAAAATAGTCCATGTTAAATAGCACGATCTTGTAGGCCCACTAAAAGCTTTCACCAAAAGTTTTCTTCTATAAGTTGATTGCTTCGTTGGCTGTATGACATGTAGCGCCGTCTTGTCAGGGCCAAAGTTCGTCAACATTGACATCCCTAACTCAGGCATGAAAAAGTCATTAATCATAGCTCCATAGCGTACCCCATTGACATTAAGAGACCAATTGTAATTTTCAAAAAAAATCGATTTTATTTTTAATTTTTCGAATGCACATACATACGTATGTATGTACATATAATATATTTGAGAATATTTTCAGAAAAGTTCCGAAGTTGATCCGTCAAACAGTCTCAGAGATATGATCGCATTGCGTTCGGAATAGGCGGAGTAGCCTAAGATATCTCGTTTCCGCTGTGCCTTTGTAAACGATTTTTAATATAAATGCGATTTTCTCGAAACGCTGTTTTCAGTGTCGGTGAGGATAATTCCTCTGAAACGGCTGAACCGATCGACTTAAAATTTTCACAGGATCTTCTAAGACTGTTTGTTAGGTAATGATCGATTTTTAAGCCACTTTGAAGTGTAGAATTTCTTACAAAAATTATTATTTTTTTTTGTTTGAAGCCGCCATTTCGTCAACAATCGAAAATTTCACTACTCTTTTGATCATTACCAAGGCGAAATTATGAGGGTGAAGTTGTCACATCATATGATCCATTTCAATAAAAGACACAAACAAAATACATGAACAATTTTTATTTTTGACTTTTCGAAACTACCATTACACAAACAATATACATAGATTTTTTGTTTTTGTATTCTTGCCACTACCGTGTGTAAATTTGCCTTGGACATTACATTCAGATCTTTTGTAGCAGAAATATCTTCCTCGCCGCCAGACACGTTTTTTGCAGGCACTTCTTTAGATTGGCTAGGGGAACAAAAGGATCCAATATATTTTAAAATAAATCGTTTATTATTAAATTACATTAAACTGTGTCAATTAACATTTTTTCTATTAATTCATGGAAAGAAATTCCTCTCAAAAAAATGATCAAAAAGTCGCTGTTGCGTTTATTTTGTTTTGCAAGCGGATATAACCCCTTAAGCCGGCTTCATTGAAGAAGAAATATGGAACAATTAACGGCGCCTCGACAATGGCTTGCGACAATTTCGTTGTGCTCTGCTTCATCGTTGAACAGAAGTGCGATGCGCTTGACCGTCATTTGGCTTCAATTCTTGGTTACTTCCGCAAAATCTTCCACGAAGTGCATGGACACAGACAGCTCCAGCGTGTTGGCGTATCGACTCATTCGGGTCTTCTTCGATACCCTGCTCTACAGTAGCAATCGCGTTTTCGGTGTGCACTGTAAGACAATATGTCGACGGAGTATTGTGCGAACCGCGCCATTATTTTGGTACGAAATTCGCACGATTTGCTAACGTTGTTCCGGATTGGGACTGTTCATTGCGAAAAAGCAAACCAAATTGAGTATAAATCAAGTCGAGAAGACCAACTCCGAGAAAGTATTGCCACACGCCTAAAAAACACCTTTTCGAGAAGCAATCAATTCTACCTAACCTAACCTAACCTTAGTTTTATAGCTTTGTAGTCTCCCCACATTCGTGAAAAAAACAAACTCGTGGCTCTTGTATGCTCTAATTGGGCCAAGTGGCGTTTTATTTAAGCTTTAATAATATCTTACCTTTGAATAGAAGTTTCTTATTTAAGTTTATGTGTAACGTATACATATATGTATGTGAGTTTAACAAATTAAATGCATTTACGGCTTTGTGAGACGGAAGATGGAGACAAATTCGGTGAATGGGCTTCTTAAAATTTAAATGGGTTTCCTTCGCTAAAAGTAACATTTAATTAAAACATTAAAAGGCGCCGATGGGAGCCAAATTATAACAGTACTAAATATATATATATATATATATATGCATGCATGTAAGTTTACTCATATAAACTGCCGAACGGACTTAAATTTAGATTAAAAATATTATTTAAAATTTTTTCTGAATCGTTTGATATATATATATATATATGTGTGTGTATGTGTGCATGTATAAAGTATGTAGATTTGTTTCGTTTTCTTTACTAGAAGAAACATTTAAACTAAATTAAATGCACTAAGTATTGCAGAATTAAGGCGAAATGCGTTGAGGAGCTAATGTGAGCTGCTATGCATGTATGTATGCATGTATGTATGCATGTGTGGGCACACATCTACACCCAAAGTACGGCGGCCGCTTCCTCATTGGAGAGTGTCGAGAAGCGTTGGTATTTCGTATCGGCATTGCGATAACTGTTTTTCGTTGTTGTTGTTGTTGTATCCCAACGATGCTGCATATCGTGTGTGGGCTGCAGTGGCACACCCAACACATTGCTGGGATGATTAGCCTTCAATGTCGAATTACGACTATCGCCGCTACCGCCTTCGTTGGCATCGACATCACACGCCGTCGCTGCGGCGGAAGCGCTACCGGCACCAGTGCTACCGTTATTAGCTCTACCCAAATTCGCAGCATCCAATTTGATGCTGGCCAACGACAAACGATTCGGTGTTATGGAGCCATTCGATATCATTGTGGAACAAAGCGGTACACCAATGTCATGAAAAGAACTGATCGAACTGAAACCACTTTCGTCCTCCGTGGCCGAGTTGTGCGGCTGCTGATGTGACAGCTGATGCTGGGTCTGGTGCTGATGCTGATGTTGTTTGAATGGCGTTAGTGCAATTTGTTGATTGAATGGACGGTGTAGCGTAACATCATCGTCCGTCTCCACCTTGCTCGAGGATGTGGATGCGGCAGACGATGAGGAGGTGGACACCACAGACGAATTTGAGGCGGTGGAATGTACGGAGCTATCCGTGGAGCTGCGCAACGATAAGCGTGAGTCGCGTATGTTGTTGGCGCGCAGGAAGAGCATGTCGGGCGAGGCCGAGGCCGAGGCCGAGGCGGAGGCGGAGGCAAGCGTGTTGGCGATTGGTGTGCTCCGTAAGTGGTTGCCATTGTCCGTGATGGCATTGGTGCGCGTAGGCGTGATGAGTTTTGGTATAATGGTTGGTAATGTGGGTGCTGTAAGTGTTTTACCCACACTGCTGCTACTGCATGCCGGCGAGGCGTTACGATGCAGACGCAAATCCGGTTGGCGTGTGGATGTTGTTAACAAATTTTGTATGGTACGCGACAGTCGGAAAGCTTCCTGGTTTAATTTCTCCTCAACATCATTTGAAGCGGCTTGAGCCTTGGCTTCAGCGTACTTCTTAGGTGAACGGCGCCTGTGCGTGTGTGAGGCGTGAGGGAGAGAAGGAAAAGAAAACGTGTTAATATGTAAAATGGGCGTGTTAGAGACTCAGTTAATCACATACCAGGTAAAGTCCTTGAATGTGGTGTACGAACTGTTGCTTGGGGGCGAGCTAATGGCATCGTAACTACGTTTATCTACACTCGTCGCTGCCAGTGTGCTGTGCCTTGAATTAGCGCTGTTGCCTGTCTTCCCATTGCCATTTGGCGCGCTCGTTTGTTTCAAATCTACGATCAGGTTGCTGCTGCTACGCGTACGCAAACATGAAGACGAGATTGAAGTTGATTTATCGCCAAATGTGCTGCTGGCATTTTGCTCGTGACCTTCGCCGCATGTGCTGTCGCCATCGTATACTTGGTACAGACTTTTCGAACGGGATATTTGCTGTTGTTGTTGTAATTGTCGCTGTTGCTGCTTTTGTGTTTGATAACGATCAAGGAAGCGTGCGATCTCTTCGATGACAGCACGGTACATTTCATTGCTAGTCTCCAACTGTGGATGAAATGAGTTACGAGGTGTGAGTTGGTTAACTTTATGCTGTAATAATTATAGTTTCGAAGTGGTAAAAATTAATGGCAAAAACTGAGCTGGTGACCAAGAGATTCACTCTTAAGTGATCCTGAACTCAAACCAGTTAGGAATGGCTGACAAAGAGGAAAGAATAATTATTAAGAAAGCCCTTTGCTCACCAACAAAGAAATGCTTAAGGCCCGCCATCACCCTGTTAAGGGTGATCGCCATTAGAAGAATTTATATCCTGCTACTGCGGCCATTTCCCCGAATATCTCTCTGGATGTTGGTACAGGTCTTACAACCATCGTAGCACTAAGGGTAATTTACCGACGATATTCGCTCTTTGCTCTTCTTGACTTTATTGGTAACATACACCACAAAAGCAATAAGTAATTCTTGGCGGTGTAAAACAGCTCTAGCTCTCTACCTTAGCGAACTATGTTCGCTTGAAATAAAAACATATTTCTACATTAGTTGGGTTAAGAGATATCCCTATATTATAGGATTATTCGGACATTAGACAAGTCAATACAAGATAGATACCCAGTTTTCTGAGACCATCTCGGAGTTGTGATCAGCAGAGTATGAACAAAAAAACAAATATACAGTAGGTTGGATTGTATGAAAGTGAGATAGTTAGCAAGTATGGAATCAAAACCACAAATTCACATTACACTACCAAGAGGAGACCTTCAAGAAAGAGTATTAAGGAAAACTCTATAGAGCTCGCAAATCAATACAACTTTTCATGAGAGCATAATTTTACATTTACTTCGGTTTGGAATCGTTGATTTACCCATAATACAGCCCAGATATGGGACTTGCATTTGCTTTAAATAAAAAAAAATTAGAAAATTTTAAGGCCCCAAAACCGAGAGTAAAAATATGTTTTTTTTTTTTATAAAAACCTTTTCATTCCATAGTCTTTTGAACTTTTCTCTGGCAAAAATCTACTCATTTCAAAGTTTTCAAGCTGCTGTTCAGTTGCATTATGGTAATCCGGTATTCTGGTTCTATCAAAGGATTACAACGTCTTCAATGCCTGTCTGAGTTCAAACACCTCGCAGGTTAAGTTAGGTTAGGTTCGTAAAAGGCAACTAAAATTCAATAGTTGCCACGATAGTTCTAGCAAACAAAGGACTGCCACCCCAGCAAGATACCTCGATACTAGTTTTAGGAATAATTTTGCGGTGACAACGGCAGCAACAAGAGACAGATAAACAAACGGGCAGACTGGCCGATAGAGGAATATGGCCAGATGAACTCAGTTCGTCATTCTGATCCGATCGGTATAAATTTTAATGTGTGACTATCTTACCTGGTGCTTACATACTTCTGATCGAAGCTAGTACGTATACCGTATCAGAGTCTCGCCAATTCCTGAAACACGATAGTTGAAGGAATTGAAGTAATTGAATCGAACCTTGGCCAGACCAACATCTAGAGTACGTCTTCTAATTGCGCTCCAGCCGGTAATATCAAGCTAGTTTATGACATGAAATAAAAAAGCTCCCATTATAAACCCATCGGCGACCGCGATATCCGCGTGGTTAGCATTGCATAATGCCAATCTGAGAAATTAATTGATATTAAAGGTCATGTAGAACGGATGGATACGAATACTACAGCTTTGAAAGTTTTCGATGCAGTGGAAGCAGAGGAAGAGGAAGAGCTCCACTCCGCTGGAAACTCCAGGTAGAGGAGGACCTGGCTGCACTTGGTATTTCCAAAACAAACAACAAATAGAAGAAACGAACGGCGCAATGTTGTTAACTCGGCTAAAATCGTGTAAGCGGTGTCTACGCCAGTAAAGTAAGTAAGTACGTAAAAATTAAGTTAATTTTTCTAATTGCGGTCGCCCTCGGCAGGGAATGTTAGTCCCTCTGCTTAAGTTTCCGACGTGAAATGAAAACTGCTCGTAAAAAAACTTTTTTTGGAGGCCCTTCTGGAGATCGGCAACAGGAACAAGAGGATTCAATTTTTTTAAAATGAATCGTTTGTTATTAAACTACACTAAATTTTGTCTATTAACATTTTTTAAATTAATTTATTGAAAAAAAAAACACCACCTTTGCGAATTTAAATAAATTTTTACTTAACATTTTGATCAAGACCACGTTTGAATTTGCATGTCGCCTCAGAAAAAATGCATTTCATTTTAATATTATTCTCCTTTCACACCAGCAATACTCCAACCCATCGCCTTATGGCCTTATGGTATTGACATAATTTACGAGCAAAAATTTCCCATTATTTTCCAATATTGCATAACGCCCCAGAGATTTGTTTAATTGCCAAAATAAAAGATACCCTCGCTGTTGGAGTAAATGTTAGAGTAAAACAAAAACAAAACGAGTTGTGGGAGAAAACACCTCACAAATAAACAAATAGCAAAACCAAATATTTTATATTATTTGCTTAAAGATGGGTTTTAGATGTGCCGGTGGATTAACACAAGCACATTAGGATGGTGTAGTTTTTAGTTTTGGCTTTCTTCTTTATTATGCTTGTGCGAGCACAGCGTTTTCAATGTGGAAAAATACCTTATGTGTGTTGTAGAAATAAAGGTTTCAGCTTGAGATTCCTACTCAAAGGACTACCGTCCAGGCAGTTCTACTAGACTACTCACAAAGGTAGAGCACTCTCATATAAGGGGCTTGTCAGTTGATGCAGTAGTCACAACGCAGTGCGAAAGATACAATTATCCTACGACAGTAGGGGATATGACGTAGGAGCCTCCCTTAACATCTCTCATCTCTCATGAGCAAGCGTTTATGAAAGCATAAGAGTCGATGGGAGTTCATCTAGTCGTTTGGTTCTAGTTACACGCCTTATTAAGCTGAAGGAATAGTCATGTCCAATGGGTACAAGACGTGAAGAGTATTATTATTACTCCATTGAGCTTACGTAATCAAACGCATGCTTATGAATCTGATTAGAATCTGAGAGGAAATCGCTTACACCCTACACAGATGACAGCTGACAAGTGCCACAAGTGTCCAGTCAGAAAATTATTGTTTCTAATTATTTTGGCTCCTCGAAAGGCAATGTCCACCCCCCTTTCTGACATGAAATAAATAAAAAATTCACAAAAAAAATCTTACGGCCGTTCAGAGGTGGCTTAGTATTGTATATCAGTAGGTTTGTAGGAAAACATCAAGATACTAAAACGACAAATTAGAGAAGGAGCTCGGCAGAAAATCACTTCAGCGTGGATATGAGTATCAAAAGCTAGAGAGAGAGAAAGAGAGAGAGAGAGAGAGAGAGAGAGAAAGGGAGAGAAAGAGAGAGAAAGAGAGATAAAGAGAGAGAAAGAAAGAAAGATAAAGAGATAAAGATAAAGAGAGCGATAGAAAGAGAGAGAGAAGAAAGAAAGAGGGAAATAGAGAGAGAGAAAACGAAAAAGGGGTGAAAAATAACGAAAATTATGAGCGGAAGCTATAAACCGCAGGTAGGGTAGAAAGAAACTTAATTATTAATTAGATTTTGGCACAGAGACGGTGAACTATTCGGGAATGCGATCCATTTGATTTTTTTTTGGTTTTTTTTTTTAATAGATAAGAAGATATTTACAAAGCTGCAAGATCTTTTCGGTCAACCCGGTTCAGTTTTCTGAATGAGGCTTACAACAGCACGTTTCTTCCTCTTCTTCTAAGGGTTCTTAGACTTTGGGCATGCTATTCTGTAAGATTTGCTCCTACCTTAACTAGGGCCATACCAATACATTCTTTATCAGGGAAAAACTGGCTTTCTACCCTATAGTTTCCACTATGTGTTTGTTACCATGAACGCAAACGCCATCTCATGAAGAGATTTTCGGCAATTCAGGGTTGGTGGTGATGATGAAAATGTCTCTTTCTGAGTATTCGTTTCCAATGTGTTTAACAGCTTTTATGATAGCTGAGGTTTAGGCCTAGAACACACGGTAATGCTAGCTTAAAGTGTAGCTGGAATGAGAGTTCCAGTCAGGGGTTTTGTGGAGAAAACACCTTTTCATCTGCCCGCTTTGTTTATATTCTCTTAAACGAAAAGCCAATTCTGTTGGCAATGTCAAGTATTACCTTTAGAGAGCTTCATTTGGAGTGGACTGCCAAAATTTTCGAAATTTTAATACAACGGAAATTAAAAAGAAACTCAAAGCAGTTATAAAAATCAATAAAATAAGCCACACCCTAACGTACATAAAAACCAAATATATCAGTAAATGTATTCAAATTTTTTGCCAATTTAACTAAACTAATAAACTAGTGCCAAGCAATGCATAAAATAAAAGGAGACAAAAATGGAAACAAAAAGTATTAAATACAGAAATTGAACAAAGCTGTGGCGGCTGGCTGGGGAAGACACCATTTGGTGGCCACCCGTTGGCTGCAATGAGTTGTTGGTTTATGGTTTTATTTTTCATCTTTGTTGTTTATGTTTCTTTTTTGGCTTACTGAGTGCTGATTATTGTTTGCCAGCTGTTGCCGATGGCACTAAGCATTGTTGTTGTAATTGGTTTTGGTTGGTATTTTGGCAAAACAAATATTGAAATTTGGAAAATAATTGCATTTACTTGTCGTACATACGTGTACATAAATACTAGTAAAATGCATTTATTTGCAGTTTTTGGTTGAACTAAGGATCATAAAGGGTATTTTTTCAGACCTGTTGTTTTCTATGAAATAAAACCTTTTTCAGCGTTGGTCTTATCGACAGCTCTTATTTGACTTATACTCAATTTGGTTTGCCATTTCCGGAAAAACGTTTGAAAATCGTGCAAATTTATGGCCAAGATGATGTTTCGGGTCGCGTAACGCATCGTGCGCTGCATCCAATACTCCGTCGATATATTCGCGCAGTAAAGTTGGTAATTATAGTAACCACGAATCGGTTTCGCACCACGTTTGCTCTAGTGAATAATACGCATGCTCCTAATTGCCTTGCAGTGTACACCGAAGACGCTATTGCTACTGTAGAGCAGAGTCTCGAAGAAGACC